CCTCCTCCCCCCTCCTTCACTTTACCAACCACCTTTCCAACTTTGTGATCAAAATAGCTGGAGATTGCACAAGTAGCACTTACGCAACTTGCGTAACCCTCTTTTTCCAATATTATAGACAAGCCACATAGACATTACACAAGTAGCACTTGCGCAAATTGCTTAATGTCTCATTTCCGAAATATAATATTGAAAAAAGTGGGTTACGCAAGTTGCGTAAGAGCTACTTGTGCAATCTCCGGCTATTTCGGTAAATTTCCTTGAAAAAGTGCCTATAAAGTGAAGAGGAGAGGCCTAATTGGCTATTTTGGACAATTTCCATGTTTTAAGCACTTAATTAAGAAAATAAATAATAGCAGATTTCAAATGTGGAGTTGGCTTGATACCTGATCAAACATGTCAATATAAACTTCTTGAAGGGAGTGAACACTACAAAATTGATTGATCTCGTGATGAATTTTGTCGTATATCCAAGTATGATCATACTCTACACCATAATTGAGAAGGGTCTCGTACACGGATTCCTTGTTGAGGCGGTTAACAACCTGTAGGCAAAAAAATCATATATAAATGAACCACCGTTTATTTTAAATTATGATACAGTTGTGCTATAGTATTTAAAGGTTTACCTCTATCCTGTCGAAGTTGATCATAACACCTCCTTTTGTCCCACAAGGGATATCCCTCACCTATATATTATCATCATCTACCAAATTCATCTTCTTGCTTGGGAACTGTTAGTGTGAAGTTCAGTTACAAAAATACTTACCAGATCTGTCTGGAGGGTCACTTGGACAGGCTCGTAGTGAGTTATCAGAGGTAACTTCAGATGAAAACCTAAAATCCAAAGCAATCTTACAGTGACATCTTACAAACCGTTCAAAAAAGGAAGTCTATGGTTGCTTCATATAGTGAAAGATATCACGTGTTTAGGAATATTAACAAAACCTGGGGTTGTAGTTGTCTTCTGGAGGGCACCCCCAAGCCAATAAACCCCAACATGACCTTCAGGAACTTGATGTAAGATTGTTAAGCTGTTTTTCAAGTTTGGTGATGAAGATGGAATCAGAACCTACAAATATAAGAGACCAAGACATTTAGAATCGAACGAATAACTGCCACCATGACTGCCACTTTATTTTCATGAATTAAAATGATAAACTGTCATTTCTTTGCAATCACATGGCTGACAAAGTGAACTATATCTTGAGAGTACAAGAAGATTTTTTCCCCCAAACTAGCAGGGTAGTCCAAAAATGAACATATTCAAAAACAGTAGATAAAATATAACATTCCCCATTGGTCTTGATTCTTGAATGATGTATCAATGGTTAGACAACAAGGAACTGGAAATTTGAGATGAGCAAATTGAGAAGCAAAAACAAACTTATAAATCATGATATGCATAATCAGACACTATGAGAGCATAATTTTCATCTTCAGCAACCTAAACATTACTAAAGAAATGTTAAAGCATAAAAAATTGTACATATTTTCACGAGGACTAGAGATTGATCTAGCTTGTTCTATGGGAAAGGGATAGGGCCGACATTTGCTGATTGCAAGAGGTATGCAAAGATGGGATGTATGTTTTATCTTAGTATCGTGCCTATATTATGGATATTCTTCCGAAGGAAATGACATTGAATCCATGGACGGAACCAATGTAGAGCACACGGTGGCCCGTGCTGCCGTATTGTTCATCCGTCGTAGTGTAAAAAATTCTCGGGTCATGAAAAGTGCCACCGTATTAACCATATATATTTTGAAACTACAATGAGGACACAAGTTTCCCTTGGTAGAGTTGGTTTGCAAGGATTTTCTTCCACCCTAGACCCGAGTTCAAATCTCATTAATGTCATTTTCTTTGTTTTTAGCTTTTAATTTCAGATTTGTTATGTTTCTGGAAAAAATTGCAATAAAAGACCTGAACACAGGACCTCACATATGAAAAACAATGAACTAACCAACAAACCATGATGATTTTGTGAAAAATATCCCTATATTTGTTTCTTATAGTCAAATGGTGCCACCATTTGAAAAAAATCTGGGTCCGTCCCTGATTGAATCTACGTTACTTTGGAAACAATCTTATAAAAGAATGTGAACTATGAGAAACTAATGTTAAACTATGTTAGAATATCTTATGTCTTGTCTACTATTGTTATTATGAATGAATATCTTATGTATTGTTTAATACTGTTATCCTGAATGAGTCTAGAGGTTAGCTTTGCCATTTGAGCTGCTTTCTACAAAATCTATCGAGCACATCAACACAGCCAACATTTGGCTCCCTATCTGAATCCATCTCATCAAATTGATTCCTCGTTTATTAATAATCATACAACCACCATTCTAGGTTTTGCTTATCTTATATTTTCATGTCTATATATGTCTTTGTTTCAGTGATATTTTTTTGTATGGTCCAAATAAATTTAATGTCATTTTACAAACTCACCGCACCGCAAGCTTCAAGTAGAAGTACTTACTTGTCTTGTTAGATGCATCATGGAGTTAAGATGGGAACCATTCAAGGGCCACATCATTTAAGTAAACAAAATGTGTTCCCCAAAAGGGAAATCTTCTTTACAAAAGGATGAAATGATCTGAAACATTCATTGAAATATGTCAAGTACTGAAAGTTTGAATTCTCCTCAATTATTCATCCCAGACAAATTGATGTAAGCCTACTTAAACTTCAAGGAGATATAAAAACCGAGTAAATTATTGTACATACAACCATGTAGCTAAGCCTAAAACACATAAGTTAGTACGAATTTGTCTGATTGTGATTCATACAAAGATGGTTATATCATTGTTTACAGAAGTTATATGAACTTGTATGAGCTTCAAATCCTAGGATCTCGAAGAATGACTTCGAAAATGGAAATGTGATCGGTACCATTACAAATGACATCCCAATGTCCGAGGTCAAAACAGATGACTATTCTGATCCTAGATTAAAACAACTAGGCATCAAGTTACTCAAAAGTAGAGCAATCACAACATATCTACAACGATTTTCAAATCCAAACGAGCACTTATCACTAGCAAAGCCCTAACATTTTTTTAAACGAATTCTAGAACCAAAGAAAATTCTTCCACAAAATCAACAGATTAATATACAGATGTGACAGTTAACAAAAGGAACTAAGCAACATACAGATGTGGACATGTGTGAGTGTTTATACCATGGAGCAGATGACAATAAAGGCAAATAAGACGGTGATAATGGCGGTGAAATCCCCATTTCCTTGTTGGCGAAGTGGTTCCATCGGTGGTCGCCGTGGCGGTATCGGTTGCGCTCCGGTGTCCATGGTTCTCCTCTCTCTCTTTCTCTCTCACTCCAACTTACAGGTGATCAGTGTGATGTGATGTGAAGGAGGGGAAGAATCTGATGCGAACGATATCTTTATATTTTTCCTATTTCTTTTTTTTTTAATTTTTTTTTATAAATTTTATTTAACAACTTTTTATAGATATACGATGCCACACGTTCAAAAATATTTATGGATCCGTCTTTGTAAAAATTGATGTAAGATGAGGTTCATTCTCGTATATGAGAACAGGGATGTTTAAAAACCCGACCAACCCAATCAACCGGATCAACCCAATTCACCCAAGGTGAAATAATTCAATCCGAAGCAACCTGCTATCTAATCGAGTTGTAAAAGTTTTAAATCGTAGATATTGTGTTACTATTATTTGAAACCAACATAACCCGATGAACCCGATATCCTTTTATTTCTTGGATTTAATATGATGGTTGAGTTTATATTAATATATACATTAGAAAATAACATTATCACGTACGCTCTTCATATATGCATATTTTCAATTTATTCTTCATCTCTATATAACTCATTCGTATATATGTTCAGTAACTGTGAACATATATATGTAAATTGAGAAAATTATTTGAATGAGATATACGTAAGAAGTATGAATGAGTTGTATCAAATGGTTAATGATGAAAAAGAAATTATAAGTTGAGAAATAACATATTCAAGGTTAGAAATGTATCAAAGTATCAACCCGACCAACCCGTACGGTTTGGGTTGGGTTGCATTTTGGTTTGGGTTGGGTTAGGTTAAGATTTTTCAAACCGCAAACATTGGGTTGAGTTGTTCAAATGTCTTCAACCCGATCAACCCAACCCATGAGACCCCCTCATATCTGTTACCTCGTATACACCTTTTAATTAGTGTATTCGAGTGTGTGTGAAGATATGCATAGTTTTAATTTAAATCACGTATTCATTTCCAAATTAATTCAAGTTTATCCATTACGCGTTCAACCATTCAGGTGTATTGAGTTTTGTCTCGTAAATTAGTTGTACGTTTTAGTACTTGTAACAAAAGTTATTAAATGCTCATATGTTGGAATTATTATTACCGTACATATCACACTATTTACTATTCATAGAGGAGGTGAGGTTAATATTGACTTTGGTGTTGACATGATCATAATACCTTATATACTTTTGGCAGTATGACTTAATCGTATACAGTTAACTATGTATGAAGTAGTAGTCCAACCGACAACTCGTCTTCTGAAATGTTACTAGTATGATTGATTCGATGATCCTTGTTGGGCTTTGTGTGCAAATGCTATTTTACGTACGCCTTCGATAATATCGATCTTTTCCTTAAGATATGATCTTCGAGCCTTCTTTACTCTCACGACATGATTCATAATGATCCACGTGTTTTTTGGGATCTTTGAACACGTGGGTAGGGGCGTAAATGAGTCGAGCCAAGCCGGGTAATAGGTTATTTGCACTCGGTTTGAAAAAATACCGATCATCAAATTTTTTTTGAACTATATAATATTTATATACGGCAAATAGAACAAATAAACTCACACACCCTTCTCACCTGTGGTGAGGTTTGAACCCTTGACTTTCTAGAAGGCCAATGACTCACATACCGCTAGGCCAAATGTCCTTTGGTACGCATCATCAATCTTCATGTTCGAATAGGAATTATATACGCTTTTTTTTTGGCTTATTCAAAAAAATTGTAAATATTTCTCATCTCCTTCGATGAGTTCCGTATCCTAATTTTTATTTTCTAACCACACGTATTTGTTATTTGAAATTAGCGATTTTGATGTCACGGGTTTTTTTAGAAAATACTATCACATAAATCTAGTCATAATTCAATTGTTGTGTTTAAATACTTTAGATTATTAAAAAAGCAGTAACATTTACAAGCATAAGTGTGATTAAGACTATCTTCTGCGTGAACATTAAGAATTACTTTTGACAATATATGAAACTGCTTTTTCGTTTTATATGCCAAAAAGTATGTGTACATCCACTAGAAATTTTATTCAATTCTCATAAAGGCATTTCCAATTTATGGGTTGTTTGGTAATGACGTAATGGATTGTATCTGATGTACAACTTATTCGGTAATCCATATAAGGTTGTTTCGGTCCTGGCATAATGGCTCGTTAAATAACTTATTCGCTAAGCTACTTGGTCTCTTGATTCTTTCTCGAGGGTCACACCTATAAAACTCTGCTGATCTCTTTGCTTTCTTCTATATTCTACTTTGGAAAAATCTCTTGATCTTGATGTGAAAAACCCTCTCTGATTTGTGGTGGATTTCACCGAGTTCATAATCTATATATATATTAAAGAAGAAACCAAAGGTAATGATGTGACACCTTCTAATGCTTAGAACCCCTCCTATCTTTTTTCTCATTTTTTTTATTTTTTTAAATGTTGAATATGTTAAAGACTTTTTTGTCCCTTGATGAAAAATGTATAGCTCATAATTAACCCGGGTTATTTTTGTAATTTTGTATACCCAAGTTTAATCTTCAACTATTGGTTTGCTCTTCCATTTACTTTCTTTTATTTCTTAATGAAATTTGTTTTTTAAAGTTTCAATAATAAACAAAATGAAATCATATAAAATCCTTTGGTGAGGGACGAAGAAGATGAGAGTTGAAGAAGAATTCAAAGATTTTAAAAGGTATGTAGAAGTTATATTCATTAAAAAAATGTGATTTGTTATTACATGTTTCTTTTTCAATATTGTTGGATGTGTTGTTATCATAGGATATGATTGTGTTTACGATTGGATTATATAAATTGTGTTTACGATTTGATCATATAATTCGAATAAAATTTTGATATTTTATAATCACA